ACAGAGATGGAATGCTTTCGCTGTTACTTATTTCTTCAAGCTTTATTTAGTTCACGTTTTTTACAGCTGACAATGCTCTTTAACCTCATAACCTCATAACCAAATAATTATGCATTGCACTGGGTGTACGATGCATTCATATTTAGAGGACTGTGCAAAAATCAAAGACCACCCTTTCTTATTATTACCAGTCAAAACAGCCATTAAGTACAAGGTATCCATTTTTAGGAGATATTTCTGAGATTAGATATGAGATAATCCACCTGCAAAAAAAAGAAAAATGATTCAAGTATAGAGAAAACGGGACTCCTAATAACTGTGTAAGATCTGGTAGACCACCAAAACTGTTACCATCAGATAAGCAGTATGAAGCTTTAATCTTTGAGAGAGAGGAGAAAATCAAGCTCCATTCTCGCTTCAGATCTGAAAGTTTGATATCATATTTAGTTGTTGAGGCTTCTGTGTAATTTTCTGTGAAATTTGTGTTTTCTGTTTTTTCTTGACCCTGAAAAATGATTAACTTGTACTTAATGACCGTTTTGACTGGAAATTAAATAAATGAAGGATGGTCTTAGACTTTGTGAGCTAGGCAGTGGAAAAGAACAATTGATGTCTCACTATAACCATATACCCCCACCAGCCACTACCATGTAACATCTACCATGTAGGGCCACTGTTCTGGTGTATAGTTACCGACTAAAGCCCATTGTTACAATACAGTTTATGTTAGCTTTCCTATAGCCTTTCATCAATGGTCACTTTCTGACCTCAGAAATGCTTTTGCCAAGACATTTTTGAATGAATACACTCATAGCAGCACCCACACACTACCATGTCGGTGTCACTGCTGTTCTGAGAATGGTCCACCGCTCAAATAATATAGAGTCTAGTCAGCCGAGGCCCTGTGATCGGAAACTGACCAGTGATTAATGGGGTAGAAGGGGCATGACAGAAGACGAGCTACTCTCTACAAAAGTAGACCCATATAGTGGACTGATAATGTAGGTGTTTCCAATGTAGTGGCCAGTGTGCAGAAGTACCAGTTACACATTTCTAACGGTGACAGTTCATCATAGTACACAGGACTGTTGTTGATTTGATCCTTTCACTTCTTATACAAGGTGCCAGATTACATGCTATTCAGCCCCTGTTTGAGGGTGCGTTGTTTATAAAACCTCACTGGAGAGTTAATGACTTCAAGAATCATGACTAAGAGTAACATTACTCATCCTCTTACCAGCCTTACAAAGGTCTTACATAAAAACTGCTGAGTCATACTCGCTGCTCTTTATTCACACTTTCAAGGTGGAGGTTTTGAGTCCTTTGTCCATCTCCTGCTCTATGTTGTTTTGAGTGGCGATGAAGTGATGAAGCAGTCCAGAGGGGTACTATTTGCGTTTAGAGCTTGCATCTTTTGCATTAGATAAAAGCTTCATGACTAAAATTAAGTGAACAATAAAGAACAATTAAGATCTTCTCAGTCTAATCATACCTTTAAATTGACAATGACATTTGATTGTAGAAGTTATGACTTTACTTTGGGATGTGCATATTCTTTTTTAAAGTCCAGTATTGACTCCTAATAATGACAGTTTTTTCTTAGTAGAGATTCCTACGGGGCCTTGCTGGTGACATCACATATAAATAAAAATAACACAACTTAATTATCTTGTTCCCATGCCTTACTAAGTCGTGGCCACGTAGTAGCGAAACCATGCCTTATTAAGCTGTGTTCAAGACTTAATTATCCCATTCCCACGCCTTACTAATTCATGGCCATGCATTAGGATCTCATTCCCACGCCTTACTAAGTCATGGCCATGACTTAATTATCTCAGTCCTATGCCTTATTAAGTAGTGGCCACGCATTATTTTTATTTATATGGGATGCCACCAACAGGGCTTCCAACGATGTCCACCTCATATTCTTGTCAAGAAAATCACTCATGTAAATGTGACTTGGTGCTCTAGACGAGTGGATTTTTGTGGATGGTGCATGCTGTTCTAGCGTAAACCACTATGTACACTTAATTTCATGGATTACAGCAAAACCCTCAATAAAACGATGTCCTGTTTAAAAAATAATTTACAAATGATTTTCAAAGAAATACTTTTACTTTTTTACTGTAAGTACAATTAGGCACATGTGCTTTTATACTTCTACTTGAGTTAAAAAAGTAAGTCATACTTCTACTTTTACTTAAGGGGCTTGTGTACTTCTGCCCCCTCTCTTGCTGGCTAACTTGGTCTTGAACAGTTAATGTTCCTTCTGCGTCTTACAGAACATTTTGCAGCTCTTGCTGTCCTTATGGGTTTACCTGTTTTTTCAGCTTCTCAGACTTATTGGCTTACCCTTGGCTATTTTCTATTTTCCTCTTTGTCCTTTGTGGTCTGCTGACTGTGTGCCCTGTAGATATATTGCAGGTTTTTTCTACTGCTAGGGCCCTGGGCTCATCTGTAGCTGCTGTAGCTCCTGAGCTTGTGTGTTGGTGTTACTTGAATATCTTTGCTGTGTGCTCACTTGGTTGCCGCTTGTCTTTTTCTTTTAACTGCTCTTTAAAGCGAGGGTTCAGCCAAGACATGTCTGGTGTCTGAAGTTTGCTTTGCTTTTGTACCGGAACTACGAGGATAATGTAGCTAATAATCAATGGAACTAGTCTATGAGGCCCATGTTTGTGAGAAAACAGGACATAGCCACCATGTTATCATTGTGCCTACTGCATGCCTCATCACACACTTGCCTGAAACTGTGTTGAGTTGTTAAGTAATCTCGATTAGACTTACGTATGTGGTGTCTGACTGTATGACAGTGTTATGTAAAAAACGAACTAAAGTACAAACAAAATCCAGGCTTCAGGATGGCTGTTACTACTGTTTTAGCCATTCACTTTATATCTGTCTATCTGTCTATATCTGTGTATAACACTGCATGTTATACAGTGCGAGTTTCTGATCGACTGCATTTAAGGTAGGGGGAATGTAAACTGTGAAATTTATTTTTTACCAAACTATTATTTTGAGGCAGAGATAAATATTAGTAGATGTACACTTAGGCTAGAAACATTCTTCATGCAAGTACATGGACTCAAATGCTTCAAGCTATGCACACAGTTTTGTGTGTCCTTGCGTTCTGAAATGTGTCACAACGCACTTCAACTGCAGTTTGAAATATGTGTCAGAACCCGATGGGACCTGACTGCTCATGTCACGTTGGACGTCATTTCTCGAATACGTGTTGGGCTTGGGTTCAAATTTCTCACAGCTCGTCTTCTACTTTTGAAAGATTTTACCCTGAATATCCCCACACTGCAGTTTTTCTCCTTACTTTTTTAATCACTAATTTCCCTACCTTAAATGGCACAGAGGTTTGTGAGGCCCATAAACAGGACATAAACAGTGATTCGAAGTACCTTTTAGTGCAGCCAAAATAACATTTATTTGGCCAAAAATATTTTTAGGTTATATGTTCAGTATGTTCTAATGTTCCATGTGCAGATAGAACTTTAAGACTGCACAGGTGAAGGCTGTCGGTCTGCTATGCCAGTGCCTCACAGCATGAGAACAGTGCACTATGGAAAATTTATCCAGACTAAAAAAAACTTTGAGACGCTGTTCAAACCATTGATGAATAAATTTGTTAAAGCAGAATTTAAACATATTTTTTGGACAGCTGATTATTTTATTATAGCTTATTATTTTATTTTGTTTTATGTTTTATTTTTTATTCTGTACTTTACGTGATGATGGGCCAGTTCAGGTCAGTTTCATATAGAATTTTGTCATATTCATGATGTGATTTGGTCGATTACATCATCGTGTGTGTTGGATGTTGTGGGTTGGGCCCAAAATTCAGGCCTGATTAAAGACCCAACTTCAACACGAGTGAAAGCTGCAATGTGCTTTTGTTCAGTGAACTGTTATGATAAACCTGCAGCTCGATGTGTCTCTCACAGGAATAGTTTACTTGTGTAAACATATACATGATACACCATTGCCTCTTTATTCCAACAGCAAATGTAATGCAGCACACAGTACTCTTATTGACATTTTTAGCTACTCTATTGCCACAACAGTAAACTCCTTTCCCATATGCTCTGATTTGTCGCCCCGTGAGTACTGAGATCAGCCACAGTAATGTTAGAACTTATACTGAGTTTGTACTGAAGGATGTAATACATTGGCCAGGCGTTGTAATTTGCGTTTGTTTAATTGCATTGAGTATGTTTCTGGTCTTACTGACTCCAGTTCAAGTCTATTCAATTTGAAAGTAGAAAATAGGACTCTCGATATTTGTATTTTTCACTTTTTTAATCCTTAGAGGACGAGAAAAATCTGAACACGTATATGTGCTGTGCTGTACTGTATTTTGGTATAAAACCAACTGAGCAAGTTCATTGTTACAAATACAATACAATACATTAAAGCAAAGCAATAATGTATTCTGTATGAAAAGCACCTGTGAATAGTGTGCAGTTTGTAACAATACAAAGCGGCCAAGCAAATACAATAAACAGACAAAAGGTGCAGCAGATGACGCTACTTAGTACAATTATGCAGCAACAGCGTTATTTCATGTGCTATCAAATAATACACAACAGCTTGCAGAGTGCTGTAATGTCCTTTAAAGTGGCAGATGCAGTGTTTTGCAAAATTAGCAGCCTTTGCCAAGCATCCATACAATTAACATATTCTACATGGCCTTGTACACAAAAAAGGTACAAATCTATATAACAAAAATATTGTCTGGAGTGCTTCATGTTTGTATTTTGTAAATGTGCGGCAGCACTAATTTTCCACACCGGATGCTGATGAAAAGACAAACATCTGGTTGATTTAGTGGCCCTCGAACAAGAACATCTCAAGTATGGTGGATATGCCGTGGCTATGTTGCATGACATAGCCATCACCTACATTACATAACAAATTCTGACTTTATCCCGAGGGATTTCCTCAGGTTTAACGGTCTGGAGCCCAAGTGCTTCAGGGGAGAGACACTTGGACATTGGCTGGTGAAGTCTTAAAAGACCTACACTATTCCTAGTTACACACTGCTGACCACATGATAAGTTGCACAATGTGCAACACTGGTCTTTCTGGACATTTCAAAGAATGTTTCTGCAGCTTTTCTGTAGGAGAATACACTTGGAGGTGGCTGTTGATTGCAAACATGTTGCAACATGCACCCCTTGTGTCCAGCTCTTGTAAAATAGGTCAGTAGTCTGTCCGACACGATTGCAGGATGGAAGATGCCCTGTTTCTAGCCTAGTTTTTCTTTAAAAATAAAAAAAAGTATTGGGAGCCATTCTATTCATGTTGCATTACTCAAAACAGCATGAAAATAAAGATATTTTGTTCTTTCAAGAACTTGAAGTCCTGAAGCAGACAGACAGCACTTCTTCAGCTTTAGCTCCTCTACAGTCCTACAGTAGATAGGCCTGTCACAATTATTACATAAACGCCTGATGGCAGTTATTTTCCACAGTTGTTAGCTTTTACAATATGTTCACATCACAACAAACAGAATGTCATCCTTAGAGTTGAGAAAAATGCATGTAAGTAAAAGAAAGCAAAAAAAAACATTGAGACATGGGTAGCAAGATAGCTAATCAGCCAATTTAGCCACTTTGGGCTTGTACTTTAATAGCTGCATATGATGAGCAAAATATTTTGAAATGGTCAGCTAAAATTTCATCATGACAGACTTAACAGCACATTTTCTCAAAAGTCTTGCTGTCTTTCAGACAGTATCACTGCGGACTGCCTTGACCACTCTAGGAAGGAGTGTGTCCTCATTTTATGCTTACAAAAATGGCTGTTATGCACTATGACTTCCTGTGGAACATTTCTTTGTTCACTTTAACAAGCTTTGCATTTCCCTCTTTTACCATTTGAACTGTAGATTTCATTTTTACATTGTTTTAATATGTTTAACATCCAGAGTGACTTAAAATAGTAGGCAAATGTATCTTTAGGAGTCTCAAGTACTCTTGTTGGTTTAGAAGTGGTCTTCCTGCCTGGATGGGTAATCAAAAGCTTCATTCCTCCGTATGCAGGGTGATGGTGTTATCCCCTTTGTATACTGCCCTTTCCTACCACCCGTTCCTAAGAACACATGATGCATTAAAGCTTGCACTGGCTCTAAATGGTTTAAATCCACAGTTCATCTTCTTACAGAGTTATGCATGTACACTGGCGCCAATGAGCAATCCGCAGATCCACAGATGAATTCCCAGCCTCCTGGGAGAATTTAGATTCCGTCTTGCAGCATTTTGCCAACAGTCAAGGGAATGTCAGCCAGAGTGGTGCTGGTGTGCTGGCGGGGCAGGCGGCTGGAGGTGGTGGAGCTGTTCTGTGGTTGATGGTGCCTCCCTCTTTGGAACATGTGGCGACACAGGTAGGCCAGGAACTTGTCATGCAGGGAAGCGTAGATGAAGGGGTTGAAGCAAGCTGAACTCATGGCCAGCAAGTGGCATGAAACCTGGATCACGTTGATGTGGTTCTTGCTCAGGATAATGAAGTCAGTGTCCAGGTCACGGATGAGGTTGACCACCTGCAAAGGCAGCCAGGAGAAGGCGAAGCATAGCACAGACACCAGCAGCAGGCGGAAGGTCTTGCGCCTTTTGCGGCCCCATTTCTCCTGGTTGGATGGGATGGCGGCCACCAGGCCAGGAGCGGCCCTGCGCCGGAGGTGGTGGGAGATGGCGCAGTAGGATATTGACACTGCTGCCAGAGGGACGAAATAGGACAGGATGAGGAAGAAGCAGGAGTAGATGAGTCGATCAAGCTCTTGGCCTTGCCAGAACTCCTCGCAGACGGCCATGTGGTGACCTGTGGCGCTCAGGTCCAGATAGACTGTGTGCAGGGCGGCAGGGGTAGACATGGCTAAGGCGCACAGCCATATGCTGAGCACCAAGCCGGCGCAGAAATGCCGTCCTCCACGGCGGCGAATGGGATAGGCCACTACAACGTAACGGTCGACTGCGATTGCGGTCAGAGACAAGACTGCGGCGAAGACAGTGGCAGTCTGCATGAGTGTGACAAAGCGGCACATGAAGTGACCGAAAACCCATCCACGCTCATCAAAGGCATAAAAGACGGTCAGGGGCACGCAGAAGAGGCACATCACCAAGTCAGCCAGGGCCAGATTTCCGATCAAGAAGTTGGTCGTACTGTGGAGTTTCCTGTTCATTCCGATGAGAAAGAGGAGGAAGAGGTTTCCAGAGCAGGCCACTAGCACTATCATTGCGTAGAGAGGGACAAAGAGTGGCTTGAGTTCCATCAGAAGGTCCAATCCACTGAAGGAGGAGGAGGAAGAGGAGGGAGAGGGTGGAGGTACGCCAAAAGTTGTGTTCTTCCAGGTTCCATTCAAGAGATAGTCCATGTTCGTCATAGCACGTGGCACACAGCTATCACCTGTTATAAGTAAGTGTACATGAGTATATTATGTATTGTGAGCACACGTAATAGAGTGCATTAATGAAGGCTGTGAAATGGAGAGGTCAAGTGTTCTGTATACTTGACAGAGGCCACTTAATGCCTTTCAAACCAAAGCCCCTATCATGACCTCTTAAGATGCTTCAAATATAAAATGGATTAGATGAATACACAGATTATACTTGTGAAAATTACAATTAAATCTCCTACTAAATCCCCAAAGTGGGCAAATTTCACTGATTTTTATCATCTTTATTGCTCTTTCATTGATGCACCTTGTACATCTTGAAGTAATTCTGTCAATGGGGTGTGCTTTATTGCTTTTGGCTTGACTCAGCTTAATAGCGGGCTTCAGAAGGAATCTAAAAAAAATAAATAAAACACTTAATACTTCTGCCCCTCACTTCAGCAAGCTCCTGTGCATTAGAGACCTTTTTGCTGCAAAATTCCATGAGCGGTCAATGGCGCCTTGCTTTGAATCGGTAATCTTTACCTTTTGAAATGGCTAAGGCTGGATTGCTTGACTAGACATATTGGCTTCTGCCTAATGTAACCGAGAATTCTCCTGCTCACTGAGAGGAATATAAAAGGCTGCGAAATCTTCAGTGTTCCATTTTTGAAGCTGAATTGATCACAGGCAGACGAGGGGGAATACTGTGCTTTGTTAAACTCCAATACACTGAAAAGAATCACCTGAAGATACACTGATCAGTTTTTTTTCCTCGCTACACTTTTCTAGAATGTGGTTCTTTCAAAGCTTTCATTTTTGCCATCTAAATCAAAGACAACGAACCTTCCTTTTTCTCTCCACTCAAGGCTCTATCTCTCACTGAAGTGCCTGGAATAGTTCAAGAGGTTGATTGCCGATTCAACATTTCATTGTTCACATAACGGCTGCACATTTAGGCAGTTTAGTCTTGTTCTTCAGACATGAGAACAGCTTTAGTTACAAGGAAATGACTGATGGTGCCTAGGTCACCATCTTAAAAATAACGTCTTAAAAATAATCTGTATTAATAAATAAGGAGATAACTAACATTTCTGAAAATGGGTCAGCTTACCTAGCATATGCATAATTAAGTAGCTCTTATTGTGGTGTTGAATAAGAAATGGGAATAACACTTATATTAGGACTGCAGATAAACAGACTCTGGGATGACGTTGTATAAGAGTCTCTGATAAGTGCTTTAAAACTAGCTGGAGCTGCAGGAAAAAAAACACCTACACTGATGAATAATATAATGTGAATAATATAATGTGCTACTTGTGGAACTGAAATGCAGCATTAAAGAGCTTTTCAAGCACGCATAATCAATGCTTATTCAAGTAACTGTATTCAATCGTATTCCCATTTTAACCATTCATATACTTTACACTACAGGTGTAAAGGCAGTAAAATACACATTAATGAGCCTTTTAGGGTTTTTTGCTTCAACATTGTATTAGTGCTGCCAAGGTGGCGTTGGCTTCACAAAGTGTTCATGCATAAGCATAATTCAAAATTAAAATGGTAAAGACAATAATACATTAATCTTGGAGTTTGTTTCAGTTTACCTTATTCAGTTCATCACTATACAGTAACAGGAGTTGAAAATAGATGCTTGAAACATTTAGATATTATTCACCCCCCCTCTTAAAAATGATGGTTCTTCAAGGGTTCTTAAGTAAAGGGAATGGTTCTTTATTTAGAACCATGAGTTCTGTATAGAACTTGGCATGGAGAATGTGTTTTATATGGTTCTATATAGCATTAAAAAGGTTTTTTTTTTCCTTTTGTTAAAAGCACAACCTTTTTAGGTGCTTTAATACCATATAAAACACACTCTCCATCAATCTAAAGGACCATTGCTCCATGCAAAGAACCTCTTAAGCATGAAATGTTTTGAAATAGAACCATTCCCTTTACTAAAGAACCTATGAAGATCCATCTTTAGTTATGACAGCCAGAGATAAACACTAACAGTTTACAGTTATTCAAGCTGAAACTTCTTTCCATTTTAATATGCACCTTATTGAATATAATAGGCAATAGTTACCTGGTTTGTCGAGTTGTTCACATCTTCAGTGGACAGCTGGTGATCCAGACATGGTGCCACTGCACAGCAAGGCGTTTTTCAGTGATCTTGCAGTAAAAACGGAATGGTCCTTTGAAAGCCCTTGAGGGGGAAACCAGTCCTTCACAATCAACGACTCTTCACATCAGTCCACACCAAAAAGAGTAGGAGGGACACACATGGAGAGCTCTACCTTCCTCGTTCCCTACGTCAGTGTGCTGGGAGGTGGAACCTTTACTTCTACAGTAGTGTTTGCCATTCACCAGACTTTATTAAGAGCCACAGGTGGGCTAGACGTAGTTATAAAGCGTCAGGAACAATCAATACACAGCTAGAAGCCATTTTCATACCATTAGGCTTCCTAGTAGCATCTCACCTTCTTATTAATGGACCTGCTTGTAGTTCAGATAACGCTAACTGGAGCAGAGCAACTTTTTGTGTGAGGATTTTTAGGTTGTGAATAATCTTGTCCATGTTACACCGACTGAAAACGAGTCATACAGCTGACTTCATCTTTTATTCGCAGTTTTACAGGCAGAAAAGAAAGATTCAGACAAACTGCAGATCGATGTCTAGCCCAATTATAACCGCCTGTCAGCCGCCTCAGACACCAACGCCACCTCATACATATTCAACAACACTGACATCTGCTGGCAGTCGGTGGACAAGACAGCGCCGTTAGTATGCACTGTGTACTGCCACACCAATCAGACCAGAGTCCAATTAGACCTGCAGTTTATTTGCTTTTCCTCACTACTGGAATACAAATTAAATGAGCGTGATTCACACCGAATGCTTACAACACTGTTCACGACAATATCACTATCTTTAATTAGTTGTAGTTCTATTATTGGACCAACAGGCCTGTATTAGATGAGGTGATATATTCACATGATGTCACAGTTTGTATTTGTAGACATTGCAGAAAAAGGGACACAATCTAAGCACCGTTTACTTGTTCTCACTCCACAAACAGAAAGATAAAGAAAAGGTGAAATGCTGCTAAGTTACTTTACAAAACAGGTCCAAATAGAAAAATGGCTCACCTTTAGGAGCTGCTATATTCTCTAGGAGTGGTCCTCAGGGTCCCTCCAGACGGTGTTTCATCTTAACTCCTAAAGGTTAGGGATAGAGTAAAAAACTGGACCGTCTGGGGAGCTCTGGGGAGCTCTGAGGAATGGCTTGAGAACTACTGAACTAGAGGGAGATGGAATTTCACACTGACATGAAATCTTAGGCCAAGTCTGTGAAAGAACCACCTTTGAACAAAAGTCACATTTATGGCAACTGATAATGGCGATAATGGATTCAAGTTGTTTAGATAAACAAAACTATAAAGAATCAGACTTCAAATGAAGCATTTTGACACAATATTTGTCCAAAAGTATCCAGACCCCCCTTCTAATTAGTAAATGAAGCTATTTAAAGGTGCATTTGCTGCACATAAACAGCTTGTGTAAACTAAAGCACTGTCAGTAGAATCAGGAGCTCTGCAGCACCTGCACATGAGCGTAAAGTCATCATATCTAATGCCAAGCGTGGACTAGAGGTGTATAAAGCCCCCCCCCCTAGCACTGTGCTCTGGAGCAGTTGAACTGCATTCTCTGAAGTGAAGGGGTTCCATCCAATACCTTTGGGATGAGTTGAAATAGTATTTGTGATCCAGAACTAATCATCAAACATTAGCACCTGACCACATTAATGCTCTTGTGGTTACAATCAAATCCTCACAGCAATGTTCCAACATCTAGTGTAAAGCCTTCTGACAAGAGTACAGGCTGTTATTGCAGCAAAGGGGAAATAAGCTCCCTGTTAATATCCTTGAGTTCAGAAGAAACATTGGATAAGCAGGTGTCTACAAACTTTTGGACATATAGTGTAATTATGATGTCAAACAGAGTTTGTTAAAATACATATGAGGATTTGAGAACCAAGCTTAAAGTCTTCTACAACAATTTATGCAAGTGTGCAACTTGTTCCACTGACGAGATTCAGTGTGTTACTTCATGGAGACAAAACAGCCACCATATGCAGTAGCCCTATGAGGACACAAGAGAAGGACGCACTCAATCTCGAATTCAGTCTCAGCTGTCTGCTGGTCATTATAGTCTTTTGGTGGTGAATGATGTGGAATTTATTTCTCTGGACTGGAGCTCTCTTCCTCCTCAGGCTCTTCTGCTGTATGATCTGTGCTGGATGAGTGTTGAGCAGCAACTCTCTCTCTGCTCTGTGATGGCAGAAGGAGGTACTCCAGCTCTTCTGCATTGATGGCCACCCGCTCAGGGGACAGCCAGCGCTTCAGCTGCTCCAAAGCACTGCCAAAGCAAGAAAATTGACAGAAAATTTAAATTTCCAACCAAGTTACACATCTAGTCTGGCAAATATTTCAACAAAAGCAAAAAGGGCTTCACAGATAAGCATAACATACAGTATGTAAATTCACAATTTGTATTGGTACGATAATATGGTTGGATGTGAATTGATTAAGATGTTATAAGTAATTCAAGCAAAATTCCAGCTTTCACACTGTTTGAAAAACACTTCTGTTTGGTTTCTAAAGCAAGATATAGCACAGAAAATTAGCTTTCACATTCCATAGAATGAGATGGCAAAACTGATTTTATACTACTTTTTATACAACTCTACTATACTGTATGCATTAGTACAATATTATCCAAGTTATGCTCTTATTTACATCTTATGGCAACATGGGTAAAGACCATAACACATCTAATCATTTAATTCTTATAACATCTAATCTTATAGTGGGCTGAACGATCAATTGTGTTTTTAAAAAAATAAATAAATAAAAAATAATAAAAAGTGTGACTGCAATTTAAATTGTGATTATTTTCTAGAAACTGAGGTTCTGGCCTAGAAGACCAGCATATCCACTTTTTCTGGCTTAAGGCTTAAAGGATAAACATAATGTGCCAGACTGCCAGTTAGTTGTGGTTGTGCCGTCATGTACACCACACATTAGCATTTGGTTACTTTTTATTGGTCTCATCTACAGGCAGCTTAGTGTTATTAGGTTAAATTTCCCCACTTAAAACCTAGGACAACATTGCTGATAATGTATCCTGTGACTAAAACTGCAGCCCTTGTAATTTTTTAAAAATAGCATACTTTCCAATTGCGATTTTGATATAAAAATGATTAATCTTTCAGCCCTATTTGGGATTATTTTCTCCTCACTTGAATGTTATGAGCTGTGACAGGTTTCTGTCACTGCTAGAAGTGGGTAGTAACTAGTTACAGTTACTCAAGTAAACACTTCATGGACTGTACTTTTGTTTTCTTGTTTTCAAAAGAATTATACTTTTACTACAAATATATTTGTGAGAAAAAGAATCTACTTCTCATTCAGTTTGATTTTAGTAATTCACTTTTAGTTACTAACTACTTTAAATTTGAGTATGTTGGTGACAGCATCTGTACTACTTTGCAATCAGCGACACCTCCAACATTTGAGGTTCATCATTGTATTTTAAACTGAAAGTGCATCAAAAAGAGACTAACAGCACCTAACACAATCCAGTTTCTATGCTGACAAATGCTGGATGTACTAAGTAGTAAAACTGCTGTTCTCTCAATTAGGCAGTACTTCAGCAATTGTTTTATAGTTCTACTGTTTTGCAGAAAGGTAGTTGTACTTTTACTTGAGTCATTTAAGTGAAGCAACAATACTTTTACCTGATTATGGGTTTAAACTACTCTTCTCTGGTTACTGCATTCCCTCCCTGGTGTAGGAACATTAATTGAAGCTAGTGCAGCCAGAATACTTGGCGTCAAACTAACAGATACGTAATGATGTTATTCAAGAACATTGGAGGATATTGGAGGATATGTTAAAATACTCATACACAATAACCCAGAGAGGTTCTATTGTTTATGCGTAAGTAGACAAAATGAACTTGCTGACTTTTTCGGAATAACACGGACAGATAAGCAGACAGGTACTCAAAGTAGTTTAGGGACTTTTTCTGCCCTGCTTACCTTTGATCTAGATCTCCTTCTTGGAACAGCTCTGAAGTCTGGGCATCATGGAGAAACCTGTCCCAGCATTCCTTCTTGGCCTGGGACAGTGAGCGGAGCATTTCCCTTGATGTGACCTCGCTTGACTGTCCTTTAATTCTCTTCAAGCGGTTTTCTGCAATCCAAAGCAGACATGAACAAAAAGATACTAGACAACTACACTCTTAAAAGATGGTTCTTCAAGGGTTCTTTAGTAAAGACATTGGTTCTATATAGAACCAGGAACACTCAAAGAACCTTTTGCATGCTTAAATCGTTCTTTGCATGGTGAAATGGTTCTTCGCATGGTGAAATGGTTCTTCAGATTCATGGAGAATGTGTTCTATATAGCACTAAAAAGGTTCTTCTATTGTTACAAGCTTGATATTGTAACAATAACAGAACACTTTTTGGTGCTAGATAGAACCAAAGGTTCTAAATAGAGCCATATACAACACATTCTCCATTAATCTGAGGAACCCTTTCACCATACAAAGAACCATTTAAGCATGTAAATGGTTCTTCGAGTGTTAATGGTTCTATATAGAACCAATGCCTTTACTAAAGAACTCTTGAAGAACCATCTTTTTTAATAGTGTAGTTAAGAAGTAAAAGGTGAATGTTATGGTACCTAAAGTGGCGATGTAAACTTCAGAGTCTGCCATTGGTTCCCAGGGGCTGAAGGTAGCACTGGGAGAAGTGGAGTTCTGGTTGCTCTCTTGGGATGGAGGCTGGAATGAATCTGTGAACTGTCCATCATTTGGTCCTTGCTCCTCTGGCTCGGGCAGACTGGAGCATATCTCGGACCAAAGGTCTCCACTGGACCGGGTCTCGAAACTTTCGGAACCCTCGATCATGGCTGTGCTAGATCTAGCCTGAAGCTGAGGAAACAAAGTAACGTTATGTGCTAAAACACATAAGCACTGTGTACAACAACAGGAGGGATAAAGCTGGGCTTAGTGGGTTCTAATTAGACAAGACTCAGTCAGCTTCTTGTTAGATTTTTTCTGTTCAACCTTAAATGGTGCAGCAGTGCAAGCATTAAGTGTAGTGTAACTGCGTGTAACTGCTGCAACATTTAAGGAGGAACGGAAAATTTAAAATAAGAACCTGACTTCAGCTTCGTGCTAAATAGCTCGCTATGTCTGTAGGGAACATGAACTAGACCTGTAAAACCAGCATTACTGTAGCCTTTTACACTCTTACCTTAAAATGCGCTTAATGCTCACCTAAGATATGATAAATGAATAACTAAGTAGTTGAATTAACTCAGGAATTCCATCCTTACTATGTTCAAAGCAGTCAGGCTCTCCACGGTCAACACGGATAGATAAATATCACCACTCCGATACGTGCTACCGGCAGCGATCATGCATTTTGAAATTTGATTGGACAATAATCGTGTCAGTCAACTCGTACATGAATGTGATTGGCTAAGCCTTTACGCCGAGGCTTTCTCTTCCGTGCGTACAGTCATGCACGTAGCTATCTTGAAGTTTACGTAAGGTCCTTAGATGTAACGTCCTTTTGTAAAGAAACGTGAAGTTGTAAACAATACAGAGGAAATTTATATTGTGGAGAACACGAGCGTGCAAAACGAGCACAGTACGTCTTACGGTGTTCATGTTCTGATGCTAACGCTGCAAAACTAGATGTGTTTGAGGAGGCTGAAGCTGCCTGTTCTCCAGCTTCGTGTTCGAATTTCCCCGTTCCACCTTAAATGGTGCAGCAGTTCGTGCAGCCTGAAGCGCCAGAATGGAACTGCTGCACCATTTAAGGTGGAACGGGAAAATGAGAACAAGACGCTGACTTCAGCTGCGTACGCGTTTGGGGGGGCGTTCATGGATAGCGCTTCTCTGGATAACTATAACTGTCTTGTATTCGCTGCACATTATTTTTTGCTTTCTTGTGGCATACAGAAATTCCATATCGCGGCCATGTGATTCTCTAAAGATTTCTGCAACTCCAGTCTCATACGCCATACTGTCGTGCCTGTGTAATGTAGGCCGGTGTTGGACCGCGGAGCTGACCGACTGACGGAGCGAAGGTGAGTGCTGGACTCAGCGCTAGTCTGGGCTGCAGCAGCGTCCAGGTAGGCTCGGTACTGTAGTGCCACTGTGTGTGCTGTCAGTGAATGTAAGCTAATCTGCTAAAATTGTTGCGCTTAAGTGAAGCCGTTTTAATTGTACGCTTTAACCCAGTTTCTCTAGCTCACATGTCCATGTCTCGACTTAAAACCTGAATAGTAACTATAGTAATACTACGGGATTTTTTTTTATAGGAGATAATAATCTTATAGTCAATCAGGGCAGTTGCTGTAGTTTATTACTGGATACTACACAAGTAGGTTTGATCACTGCAGGAATACTACTATGAGGCGAAACACCACTACATGAAATCTCTTTTCATTTTTCAGTTTACCATAGATCTTATAAAGCTCACATTCACATTAATTTGTGTCTACAGTGGGATGAAACTACAAACTTAGTTTAATTTTGATGTCTGATCATTAGAGATGGGCACTTTTCCTCATAACAATACTGATATTTTATCTATATTAGTCAATGATTTCAATTTATAGGAAAGTGGATGTTATGAAATGGTGACATAAGTAATAATAATAGTAGTGATGATGATGATGCTGATGATGACACTTCTACTACTAATAATAATAATCAGAAGAAGTAGTGTAAGAAGAACCTTAACAAGAACTTAACTGCAGTAACACTATAAATAACTGTAAAGTTCTTATAGTAATCTATAATATTTTGTAGTCTCCGTATAACATTCCTGTAGTAATGTCTTACAGTAATCTGTAATACTTTTGTAGTGTCCTGTTATAAACTATAGTTTATATTTTATGGCTGAATTTACTACTATATTGGAATTATGGGCCTTTTTTTTCATGAACAAATCACTCTGATATATAAATTTTTATAAATATGCAGAAATTGGGACTAGACACAGTAATGGCAGTAATGCTAACACTTGCTTGCATGTAGCACTTTTTTGAATACAGATAAAAATGCATTTAAATAATAAAATGCAGACATTTTAACAATGTAGCCCAGCAGCGCCTTAACAGAGTATTCTTAATTCTTACAAGAATCCTGTAGAAATTCCTAATGATCTTTTTCATCAAGGAATAATTGTGAAATAGTGTGTTTGTGTATGTATATTGATTTATATAATGATAATAGTGTAAATGATGCATGTAATAAACTGTATAATATAAAAAGTTATATGTATAACCCAGTGCAGGGGGTTCTATCCAGGAAATGCAGTCTGTCCTCAGGCTCGCTGCAGTGGCGGTCCCTATGGGTTTGCTGCTATCTAGAACAATGGCATGGATATCTAGTGGCAAAACACATCCAGAGCTTATAAGCCGTTTGCGAGGTAGGTTACTATTAAACTGAGAGCATGGCTTTATACTCAGTGTAAATTGAGACATTATACCCAGTCCAAATAGAACTCACCATTCCTGTGTTGACTGCACTGCAGTATAAGGCCTTATTCATTTATACAGAACATGGAGTTATCCGTAGTGATCGAGTGTTTGAAGCCATGCTTGCCACTGATCGAGGAATTTATTCCAAAGACTACCCATATGCAGATTCTCCTCAGTACATAGGTGAGTTTATGTAACAATAGGCAAATGAAAAAATAGTATGTAATTAGCAAAAAGATATGTATTTTTTTTTCATTAAACCAAACTGTTTACTTGCTACCTTCAAAGGTTACAAGGCCACCATCAGTGCTCCTCATATGGTAAGCAAAGAATGGAGACATCATCTGAACAATAAAGCATGTTTAACCTGGACAAGGAGTTCAGAATCCAATAACTGACCACTTTTGTACTTACTTTAACATAGAGTTTGTTTTGTTTTCGTGATTCTGTAACTAAACATGTGGACAGTGTTTGGTTTAGTATTGATAATGTCTCGTTCCTTTTGTAGCATGCACATGCATTGGAGATTCTCAGTGACAAGCTAACTGAAGGGGCGTCAGCGCTGGATGTTGGCTCAGGGAGTGGTTATCTCACTGCTTGCTTTGCAAGAATGGTGAGTCTGTTGCACATGTCTAATGATAAATGTGATGTTCTATAGAACTGCATTTATCGGTGCATATTACCTCATTATTAATACAGTTGATTTAGTACATATGCTTAAGAAACAGTGGTCAGGGTCTAACTGAGCACATGAGTTATTCTTGGAGTATGTTCTTAATCCTTGATCATTAGGATAAAACAGCATGCTACTGTTTGTACTTTTTATACCTTAGAGCAGTTTTGTGTGCATACAGTAGTTGCTACAGTTGTTACAGTTGTTACTTTTTAAATTTGGCTTTATCTTCCATATGCAGGTAGGACCCACTGGAAAAGTGGTGGGAATCGAGCACATAGATGAACTAGTGCAAACCTCAGTGAAAAACGTCCAAGCTGACGATCCAGAACTGCTGACCTCTGGGCGGATCAAGTTAGTGGGTAGGGCATTTAAGGCATGAAAAACATTTAATACAAAAAAAATCAGTAGCTTAATTCTGTATTCCATAAATGAGAATTAAGCTGAAGCTGAAGAAAACAAAGTGCTGAAATAATTGCAGGATTTTATTTAAAGGATGAATTGACTCTTTCAACACAGTTGCAGTATTACTGTACGAACATAGTATTTTTCTTGGTTTATTAAACACCCGAAAGTGTTAAAACTAGCGAATTGTTTCAACAAATCCGAAGTAACTCATTTATCAGTGCAGGCAGTAAAAGCATATCATCAAAATACAGTCAGATGCTCTCAGTGTGCCAAAATCACAATATTCACTTCACCTAAGTATTAGTCTGATGACAGCTGTGTTCCTTTTCCCAGTGGGTGATGGCCGGTTAGGTTATCCAGATGGGGCTCCTTACGATGCCATTCATGTTGGGGCAGCAGCACCAACGATCCCCAAAGCGGTAGGCACTCAAACCAAGGATATGCCAGTAGTGCAATCTAACCCTGTTTTCATTCTGAGCAAAAAACTGTTCAAGGTTGAAAATTCCATTAGGGGATTTGTAAAAGAAATGCATAGTATTTGTATTTAACCATTTTGTTTTTAAAATGTCACCTGTTCAGCATACACCTCCACATTTTCTTCTTAGTCTATTACTACAGACTTATTAGTGAAAACTAACTGCTGCCTATGAACATCATTGGGAATGTTCCGTACATACATAGCTCACATTACAGCCTGTTTTCAGTCTAGATTATGTAGGGCTTGGAGATTAAAGCTGCACTATGTAAGATTTTTCTTTATTATAATTTAAAGAAGCAGCATTACTGAGTCAGTGGAAAAAACTGCTTAAATATGGTGTGTGTACGCTGCTGTAAGTCACCCTGTGAAGCCTGAAGTAATCATTTGAAAGTCAGAGGTGTCGAGTCGGGTTTTGCAGAAGCTTTTCAGACCACGTCATATGTCTTTACATACTAATGTCACACCCTTTATGTATTAACAAATGTATTAATGTGTTTGGATCTGAAATGCAAAATCAACATTATGCTGATCAAGATATAATGACAATAGTAGATGATTCTTTTACAATCTCAAAGGACATGTCACCAAATTTTGAGTTCTCTTTGAATACTCTTTCAACACGCTCGCAGTAATCAGATTTATCTATCTGTTTGGGGAAGCACAAACATTACAAAATGTTCTTCTCCATGTTGCATGCAATTATACATTTCCACCAGAGAGGTCTCCAAATCCCCCAAATTTACATATTGTAGCTTTAATCATAGTAAGCATAATTTTGTCATTTACCTGTCAGCCCAATTGGTAGCAAAGCAGAAGCAGGTTCTTCATTTTCTAATATATTACCCACTTTTTCAAATATCGTTTTGGATTTCTGAATGTTCATTAGCATCTCAGCAGTTCTGTTATTCTACAATGCACTGTTCTACAATGTACACTCTTATTAACATGTTCTGAAGACCTTTCATTGAAATCTGTCTGTGTTCAGCTTCTGGAACAGCTGAAACCAGGTGGAAGACTTGTTCTGCCTGTAGGTCCAGAGGGTGGAAACCAAGTTTTGGAGCAGTATGATCGCCAGAGTGATGGCACCTTTCTTAAGAAAGCTCTCATGGGTGTGGTCTACGTTCCACTGACAGACAGACACCACCAGTGGCCAGGGTATGTGTCATTATCAGCCAAGCATATCAGTGATCAGAACACTGACAATAAGAATTTGCTTACTGCTGTTGAAAGTCTATAAAATGTTCCTCTCAAGAGTCAACACATTGTAATAACAGCTTATTCTGATCACTTGCCAGCGGTGCAAATTTGATCCAATGTTAAGAGGCTAGAACTTTATAAATAAAGTATGCTTACAGTTAACCAAATCATATTGTTATCTCATGCTTTATCTGTCAATATTAAAACAAAAAAACAAAGTATATTATTCATAGGAATAATAATAACATTCAGTTTTGCTGTCATTTTTGTTACAGTGGCATTCTTTTTCTATCAGTTATTGTAAATATTTTAACCATATACCCCAATAATAATAAACATGATGATAACTGAGTAGAAAAAGGAAGCACTCTTAACTGTTGTTGCATAAGTCAACAATCACATTACAGTAAAACATTGTTGAAAACCATCCCAACCTGAGTTTTAAACTGTAATTGATGACAATATAATAATTTATATCTGAGAGCCCTCCCCCCCCGAAATTGAATTTAACTAAAATCTTTATTTATAGTTTATATGTTAGAAGGAAAATGCACAGAATTGCCCATGATACGCTACTAAACAAAAAACCTGGCAGCTATTATTAGGAGGTGTTTGTTGAGGGGAAAAAGCTCCAATTGTTTGGGTCAGCCATATGCTTTTCTTTCTACTGTTGCCATCTGTTCATTCTGGGAGCTGCAGATTCTGTCACCAGGCCAGAAATCATCTTCAAACCTTACTTATTTGTCTAAGCACAACCAAAGTCAAGCCCAGGCATTAACTTGACTATTATGTATATGTGCAAAATGAGACTTTAAAGATGGTCATGTGGAGACAAAACCCCACAACACATTTAGGAGGCAAAATCATAGCAAAATATCAAGTACAATTAAACTAATTTCACAGGAAGGTGAAATTATTTCAGAAGAAAATCACAAACAACACAAAGTACTGTACTGTACTGACCTTGATTCCTCTAATTGTGTGAGTGTGTGAACTTTGGGTTTGTTTCTCTCCCCAGCGGTGAACTCTGATTGCAGTGTGGTTACCCTGCAGGAGGTGGCTCTGGTGTTGCAGTGCAGCGAACACTTAGGAAGAGTGCGGGCCTCTCCTCTCCTCTTCTCCTCTCAACCTGCTGCTTAGCAACACACCTGCCAGCCCTGTACAGCCTGTCCTGCCATCCTGTTTACTGACTAAAAACAGAACTTCGCAGTCAACCATTGATGGATGTTCCCAAAACTGTTCTTAATTGATATCTAACTGATTTTGTTCTACAGTCTTTATAAACTGGGTGATGGAAGACACTTTCCTAAGCTAATCATTGACAAGAATTATCTAGAGAATTAACCCATTAAAGACTGTATTAGAAGTGTTACATTTCCTTTGGTCTCTATGTTCTTTTGTCTGAGCACAAATCCCGAACTCTATCAGCTACACTGGCTTTCTGTCTCACAGTGAATGAGGCACTTCAGCTTCTCAAGTGTAAAGCTCTACACAGCCCTGCCCCACTTTATCTCTCTGAGCTCCTGCAGCCTTACACACCATCTTGCATTCCCAGGTCCACTAGCACTGGTCTACTGAAGCTCCCTAAGACCAAACTGACTGATCAGTGTGGGGTAGAATATTTGATTCTGAGACTCACAGACTTTGGAATTCCTTCCTTCAACACCTCTGTTCTTTCATGTTATCAGATTAAACTTTCCTTTTCACTCAGCACTTTCATCCCTGTTCTTCCTAATCTCTCTCCTTTTTCATGAATTGTAAAGCGACCTTGAGTGTGAGATTTATTATTATTATATTTTATTTACATTTTTACTTTTTTCAAATCAAGTCAATCCGTATGGCTAATACGTGAGTTTTGATCATTTCATTTATCATATTTCAGCCCTTTGGTCATATGAAACTACTAATTGTTAACAAAACAATGGTACATCCTGTTTTGATGAATGAAAGTATGAAACTTACATACTCAAAAATGTTGTGTGGCATTTTCTTTAACACTGAATGTCAAATGGCTCCACACTCCCTATATAGTGCATTGTGTACATTATGAAATTTTGGCTTCTACGCCCAAAAAGTGCACTGTATGTTCAGTAGTGAATTGTGTACATGCGGCTGAATCACAAATCGCATTTTGTTAAACATATTATGGAGTGTTTAGATGCAGGAGGTGTTATTTTGAGACCTACATACTGCAGCAGGGAGCCATTTGAGATTCAGCCATCACATGCAGCCATTTAGTTGTTGGACATGAATGGGTTCATGTATAATGAGTGATGTGATGTTGAACTGTTTAAAAAGTTAGTCAGTTATAATAATTTTTTTTTATTATTAATAAATATTGTGTTGTTATTCCATGACATCTGAATGGATGTAACCTAATACATCTTTTGGAAGCGAAACAGCATATGCATAAATATACACATGCTTTCTTTTGCTAGGATGATATACATAACTACACAAACATATTAAAGTACATACATGCTTTAACAGTTTTAGAGCTTTCTGTTTTAAAGGGGGCTGGATTAATTTAATATGACTTTTCAAGACAAAATAAAACGTTTCCACAATAAATAATACTTCACATCAATATTATGAACAATAAAGGCACAGAGGTTCTGCTAGTGTTTTTTTTTATATTGACAAAGCCCGAATGAGTGAATGACCGTCTCTGGATAGTTAATACAGAAGGAACAGGTCGTTTCAATGTTATGTTTAAAGCCAAAGAGACATCGGGCTCTGCATGAGGCTTCAAAGTGCGACGTCATCAAAGTGCGACAAGAATGCGGTCTCGTGTATTGTCCGCTGGTGGTCCGGCGTGCTCGCGCTAACGCCGCTGAGGTGAATGTTAGGACGGTTAAACAGAGTCGCTCTGTGTTTCCCGCTCAGAGTCCGTTTTATTAGAGACGGACGGGTTTCTGTGTCACTGCGTGAAGGACTCGACATAAACGCAGCGCAGCTCGGACTCTCCTCCCGGCGGAGTTCAGCACTCAGCGCTGCAGCGAGCAGCGACATGGAGAGTAAAGAGGAGCCCATCAGTGAGGTCACAGCGGAGCAGCAGGGAGACGGAGACGGAGGCGGGCAGGAGAACCGTACAGGGAAACGGAAGAGCGGAGACACCGGCGACCAGGACAGAGCCGCCCGCGGAAAGAAGCGAAAGGCTGGTAAACAGCTCCGGCCCGGAGAGAGGTACGTCCCCCCTCCCCAAAAACGCAACCCCGGCGTGAGTTTCAGCCAGGAGCATTTTGCTGAAACCTCGTATTATTTTGAAGGCGGGCTTCGGAAAGTGTACCCTTATTACTTTGACTTCAAGACCTACTGCAAGGGCCGCTGGATTGGTAAGACTCTGCTTGAAGTTTTCAGCAGTGAGTTTCGTGCTGAACCCCTGGACTACTACGAGAAGGCGGTTAAAGATGGACGCATTCGGTTGAATGAAAAACCGGTGGATGACTTAAATATAACGCTGAAGGTAAGAAAACCAGCGTGGGACAAAATACATGTACGTTTGTTCGCTACGAGACGATCTGGGGAGCATTTCACAAAGCAAGATTTCTGAGTTAGCCAGATGACATTGCTGGTCTAGCAGCGTCCTCAGTGAAGTTGGTCATGCTGGCAGACCAGCCCAGCTAAACCATAAAACTCCAACGAAAACATACCGTTTTAACCCTTGTGTGGTGTTCGGGTCTGTGGGACCCATTTTCAATGTTTACCGAAATAAAAAAGGAAGCAAGTTATTATTATTTCAACCTCAGATTCCCCATTTTCTGTGAAAAACATATAAAATAACACATTTTCAGTGACTTCACACTGTACACCCCCTACACCTTTATATTACACATGTGGTGTTGGGGTGAACCCACAGGGAATAGGTGTGGAGGTGCTGTGTCCCTTCACTCTGTTTTCCTCCAATATGCCCTGCTGTTAATGCGTGCGTGTGTGTGTGTGAGGGTGGACAACATGGACAGGCTGCTGACTGCTGCTAAAGGAGAACCCTACGCTGGCCACCTGTGATATTTTAAACTTCTGGTATTTTTACATAAGTCATGGTTATTATTAAAAAAAAAAAACAAAAATGCGGTGGGTCCACCAGACCCAGTGAGTAACACAAACACCACACAAGGATTCGGTTGTTCTACTAGCTTTACCACCTAGTTGACCAACATATTTATATAGTCCAGCTGGATATCCAGCTTTTCAACCACCTAAACTAGTGGTGTCCAGTGTTATCCACAAAGGGCCAGTGTGGCTGCAGGTTTTCATTCCAGCAAAGCAGGAAAACACCTGATCAGCAGTTTGAAGACTGAAACAAACTGATTAAACAAGTGGAATCAGGTGTGCTCCAGATTGGAAGATTGGAAATCCCTGACCTAAACCATCAAAAAAAAAAGCTTAGATCATCTGAAACCAGCTGGACTTTTCAGCGGGGTATGCCCAGCGTTCAGTATTGTTGACTAGTAATGTCTCTCTGCCCTTTTCCTATTAGACAGGCTTGATTTTAGGCTTATTTGGCTAAACTGGTAAGTCCTGCTTTGTGAAATACCCCCATGGCTTTGCAAGGTAAGGAGTGCTGGTTCCTGTCAGTAAGGCCATAGCAAATGAGAGAGTAATCTGATCCTAGATCAGCACTCCTACTCCAAGAAGCTTTGCCATGGTAGGATTTTAACTGTTGTGCATCCTTTCTCTAGAACAACGACTTCATGAGGAACACTGTCCATCGTCATGAGCCGCCTGTTATAGGTCGGCCACTGGAGGTTTTGGTGGACGATGGTGAAGTTGTGGTGGTGGACAAGCCCGCCTCTCTACCTGTACATCCCTGTGGACGCTATCGTCACAACACAGTCATTTTCATTCTAGGGAAGGAGAGAGGCCTCTGTGGCCTTCACACAGTGCATCGTCTAGATCGGCTCACTTCTGGTGTTCTTCTGTTCGCCCGCACTCTGGAGGTGTCAAAGAAACTGGACCAGATGGTTCGAGATAGACAGGTGAGGCCTACACTGCCAACTCAACATTTACACTACTTGCATCTCCATACACATCGCTGTGCATTTAAACAGTGATTTTAAATAATTTTTGATGCATAATCAGCTTTTTGGATTGAGAGGCAAAAGTCCATGGAGTGGCAGTGGGTAATATGGCAAAAATATATCTTCAAAACATTTCCCTGATACATGATCTGCTTCAGAATATTTTGTTTTTCAGAGGTCTGAAAAGTTGGAACAAGGAAAAAAGCCTGTAGGGCCACATTTGAAGGAATATGATCAAAACCTAGGACTACAATAATTTTTATGTAATGTTTCACATACTGCACTGCAGTAAGTTGATCAACAGGACAAATTATGCTCTCTTTGTAATGCAAAGTAGTTTGTCATTGTTTTTAGGTACTGACTGTATCCACAGTATGTTAAGAAAAATGTAATATGTAATTTACCACTGGAGTGACGAATGTTGTCATATTGCCCACCCCCACCTGAATCTCTTTTTGAGATTAACCTATTTAGGCAGCTGGCTAAACTGTGGTTTTGACTAATGTAATTGAAATGCCTCCAGTTGGCTCTTAGCTAGCAATACAACATAACACATTTAGTACCCAGTAAACAACCAGATTGTCTGTAAAGGAGACTTCTCTGATAAATTCTTTCCTTTGTTTTGTGCAGTTGGAGAAGGAATATGTTTGTCGTGTGGAAGGTGAATTTCCAGATGGCGAGGTGGTGTGTGAGGAACCCATACTAGTTGTGTCCTTCAAAGTGGGTCTCTGCAGGGTAGATCCAAAAGGCAAAGAGTGCCGCACCGTTTTCCAGAAGCTCAGTTATAACGGCTGTTCTAGTGTGGTGCGCTGTCTCCCACTCACAGGGCGCACTCACCAGATCCGTGTTCATCTCCAGTTCCTGGGCTTCCCTATCCTTAATGACCCCATTTATGGTTCTTCTGCATGGGGCCCAAACAGGGGCAAGGGTGGTCTGGTGGGTATGAATGACGAGGAGCTGCTAGAAGCCCTTCTTGAAGAGCATCGTTCAAAGGAGAGTTTGCACCTTTTGGATATTCCAGATGAGGCCATATCAGTGAAGAGTGGCACAAAAGAAGGTACAAGTGGTGATGCCCCAGTTAACAGTAAACCGCCAGTCATCGCTAAATCTATAAGTGCTGCCTGTGAAGACGGTTCCTGTAAACTGCCTGTAGCATCATTACAGGCTGAGGATTCTGAACCAAAGACCTCTGCAAATGGCATGGAAGGAGAAACAAATGGTGCACAGATGGAGAAGAGCAATTCTCACTCTGAGACATCATCCAGAGCTGCAAATGCTAACAAGTTTGTCAGAGATCATTTGTGTGGGGAGTGTAAAATTGTGCGACCTGACCCTACAGAGAAGGAATTGGTCATGTATTTGCATGCTTTGCGTTACAAGGGGCCGGACTTTGAATACTCCACACAGTTGCCAGATTGGGCTAAAGAAGATTGGGTACAGGATTAAATTACTTTTGGCCCAGTTCAGTTCTTTATATATCTTTACTCACTGAAAATAGTGAGAATAAAATGACTGATGTTGCTTTTATTTAAGATTTTATTTTTGTGTTTTTTTAAATGTTTTATTTAAATTAAATATATTCAAGGAAAACTATGTTCCTTTTTTTCTACCCATCCAGAAAGCAGAGTAGGAAAGGCTGTTGAGGTTCTGAAGACATATCAAGCATATTACCATGTTTGTTTGATCCAAACAAAGCTCTTTCCTCAGTAAAATATGTCTTTATTGAGGTTTTCCATCATGTTTCCATCATAGTTCTGTCTTAAACTCTTTAAATCTGACATTAAACAGTATCAACATAAACTTGTAATAGTACATTTCACAAAAAACTCGACGCAGCACTCAGTTTGGCACAAATAATCGATACTTTTACATTTGGCACTTTGCACATTAGAAAGGTAGGACAGCATTGTGGACATGTTTATTGGCCATTATTCCAAGAAAACATTGACCCCATTTTAGTAATAACTGGCCAGAGAGGACCATCTCTTCTTAAACAGTTCATTGATTTAGTAACAATTCTTTGATTATCAAACTGGGACTTGTGTTCAGCCTTTGAGTGCTTAATTGCTTGATTAAAAACTATTTCTTCTTTCACTAAAAGGTTTTTGTTTTTATTTTTTACATTCCTTACGAATTACTGTTAAATATTTTTTTAAGAAGTTCCATTCAGAAATTTTTATACAACACAGCAGCACCACACTTTGCACCATGTTACAACTTTCTTTGCACTCTTATGTTCATACATCATTTAAACAAATACAGACATGTAAAGACAGGACATACACTGCAATGTGTTGAGCAAAAAATAATTATTATGCAGATGTAGGACATGCCTGTATCAGCTATTAGTTGACTGGGTAGACATTTGTTGAAAAATGTCTACTGAGTTCTGACCTTAGAAGTATTGATTGTATGTTACACCTGTTTCTGCCTTTATAGTTAATTGAAAGTTATAGTTACATTTTTTATGGCTTTTTGATATTTAGAGACTGTCATTAGTATATCTTGACTGTCTGAACTCTTAGTTTAGGTTTAGATAAAAACTGAAAATGTTTATATAATAAATCTATATTGGTATTACATCTCATAATGAACACAGTGTGTGGGCAATAATCATGTCTCTGGTAAATAAAATTAATGTATGTAAATAAGATAAAGTGTTCCAAATAATGTGCAAAACAATACAAATAATTTGGTTGCTTAAGATCAAGGGCTTTGAATATCTGAATGTAAAATATTCACTAGGCCTTTGGTTAGTATTTGCCTTGGTGTGGTTCTGAACAAAATAAAAACAGATACAATGACAACATGTTTTAGGACAAGGCTTAAGTGAACTGATCTGGCCTTGTTTGCGTAAAGGTTCAGGCACCAAAATCCTTTGAGAGTTTATACAATTTTTGTGGTAGGAAACAGCAACACAAGGCCACAAGGGGACAGGCTGTTGTAGTGCTTATTCAGTAAGACATACAATGACATTGGTCCCCCAGTTTTAAGTAACATCTGTGTCAAAATCACTGGTGGAGGCAGTGTGAAATTACTTTTGAAGGATTCCACAAAAATGTGTGGCCTATATCATTGTGTTCGTAGATCAGTAGTGTCCAGTAGGCATTTACAGGTATGTTCATAACTTTTATACTGTTATAATTTGTAGGATGCTCTGTACAAGTTCACCACAGCATTACAAGTGGACATGCTGAGAACAGTCAGTGAGGTTTCATCTACCGAACGTTTCGATCAGCTGCTGTCCTCGCCTTTCCCATCCCTCTTGATCCAAACATCCGGCATATCAGGTTTACTGTTTGGCAGTATCACGGGCAGCTCACTTTGGCTTGTCCGCCCCCTGCCAGTCCCTGGGGAAGCAAGGTCGTAAACTGTTTGCCTCAGGGACAGACGCAAAGTATCTCTCTTGCCATTGAGGTGACCTGGTCGTAGCTCTCCCTCATTCACAGTGGATGGAGGGACTGAGGCGGCGGGCTCAATGTCACTTAAGCACGTCTCGTTAGAATCTTCAAGTCCTTCAAAGGAACTTTGCGACTGACATGACAAAAGTCGTTTGTGTGGATGACATGTAGTTGTACCATCCATAGAAAGCGACCTCTTATTGACAGTACTCGTAGTCTCGGTGACCATGATATCATCCATGCTGGAGGATGATGACAAGGAAGCGTTCCACAGCTTAACTCCGGCAACAGACTGTCCACGACATTTCTTGCACAAAAGCCTCTCCTTTGCAGGATCACCTGGAGGAACCACTACAGGTCGCAGTACGTTCCCCTTGTAGGGGGAGGAGGTCTGGAGTGCTGGCGGAGGGTTGCACCCTTTGAGGTGCCTGCTGCCCATCTCACTGTCAGCTTCCATGCTCATCCTGTCGTAATCTCGCTTTGGACTGAGACCACAGAACTCTATGTCATCCGAAAGGACAGAAGGCCTGTTGGATAGCTTGCTGGTGCAAGTGCTATTTTCAAAGCTGTCACTTAGATGACAGGCTAGTGGTTGCAGCTCATACTGCTCTGGCTCCCTCCTCACCCCTGCCTGCTGGTGCCTGTGACGCTGCTGATTTGGGCACAGGAATCCTCCGCCGCCTTCTTTGTTGAAGCTCCTTCTGCCTCGTGATCCTGTGCCACAGCCGAATGCCCCATTAGCTGAAGGATTGGCAGTTCCAGGTTCAGCAGCTGAGCATGAAGACAGCATATTTTCCGTGGCTCGCTCTGTTGCACATGGTATAATTATTTTCCCACAGTTCTTTTCAGGACCAAAGAAGCAGCAGAGCGACTGAAAGAAAAAAGTGGCAAATCCACATGCCACACACTTCACGAGAAGGAGAAAAATCCCTAGCTTTCTGAAAAGCAGTGCAGTTGCAGGTAACATGATGATCCCCACGCAAAAATAGGCTCCAGCGCCTGTGGCTACTGGACAACCCATTCTCTTCAAGGAATGTGCTACCCTGCCCAGTCTGTCGGTGTGTGGGGCCAGACAGTAGGAAATGCAGTAATTGGCTGCAAAGTCAACAGAGAGTCCTGCAGCAGCTGAAATAAACAGTGCTTCCACACTGTTCAGCTGCCATTCTAGAAGCACAAGCAGGCCAACAGTAGCAAAAACACTGCCTCCCACAGCAACAGTCACATAAATGCTTAGAGGTATATTCCATGTGGTAAGCAAAAGCAATGCAAATGTAAGTGCTACTGAAAAGCCTGCAACCTCCAACGTCTCTGAGCTCAGACATTGCTGGAGGTCATACAATGATAATTGGCTCACAAACCATCCTTTCTGGAGTCCAGGTGGAGCTCCTGCAATTTCCTTATTAAACCATGACACAATCTGACTGTAGAAATGTGACATTCTGCTAAAGTTGAAGCTGTAAAGCTGTGAGGTCTTAAATACTACAACAAGGGCAGCAACTTGACTGTGTGAATCAAATCGAAGACCTCCATTTCTGGGCGAACGCCTCGCTGCCTGCTGTTCTGCCAACATCATTTTGAGACACTGCTCAAAAACATTCGGAGGGTACGGGAAGGAAATATTGTTGCAGCAGAAACTGAATGCATCCTCACTCTCGGAACAGCGGCGTAAAGACACCCAGTGAATCAAATCTTCCACAAAACAGGCATTGTCTTCCACTGCTTCATGTTCTGCTGGTGATGGCAAATAAAAACTCTGGTTTCTGATTTTCCCACACAGCTCTCGCAACCACTGTTGAGCTTCAGAACTAGTCATATTGAATTCTGGATCCATGGCAAAGGAGCCGTTGCCTTTTGGATTGAAATGATCAGCATCATCAGTTGGGATGACGCCCCAGATGAGAGTCAGGGACATAGGCTCATCCTCTCCTTGTTTTAATCGCTCAAACATGAACTGGTGGCGGTATTCTGCATCATATCTCTCGAAAGGATGACTTGAGCGGAACAGTTGCGTTGCTCTACTGTCTGAAGATGGCAGTTTCATACCAGGGTCAACACATGATATGTAAATTCCTCCTGCAGCCAGCACTGCAAACCAGCAGACCCATATGTACCGAAACTTGACCACACCACAGGGCAGGAATTTTAAGAAAAGCAAATTTGATGTGTCAGTGAGACCTCGTTTAAGACCTCGAATTTTCTGTCCCATTGTGAAAAGGCACCGCTTCCTTGAACTTGTATCCCAGAAGCCCCCTGGAATTTTTGAACAGCATGGCTTCCATGGTGGCTTAGTAGCGAAAGTTGAAGTTGTTTCGGCATAACGCTCTTGCAAAACAACAGTGCAGGGTAGCCAAACAAGAGTGAATAGTGTATTGATTAAAGAGGCACTACCAAGGTACACAGCAAAACACCTTACAATTGTGATGCTGCTTATGTAGCCTGAGTAGAACGCGACACTAGATGTTAGTCCGGATACCAATATCAAGTACCCCATTTCCTGTAAGACTCGGTGCATTCTCTTTTCTAGTGCAGCTGGAGGATTATGGCTCAGTTGTAACTTCCATAAGTCAGTAAATGTGAAGGCGTGATTTAAGCAACTTCCCAAAAGGATAAGAACTGCCGCAAGATTGAGGAGTGGGAAAAATCTTAAGCCGAACGCTACTTTGTAAAAGAAATAAGATGTTAAAAGTGACAATGTGACCGCAACCAGTGACATAACTGACACAAGGAGTGACTTAAGATATAAGGCCATTGTAATCAGCAGCGCAAGGACGGTTAGAATTGGGTAGACAGAATCTCGTGAGAGGTAAAACTTGAAAAGCTTTTGCTTAATCCCGAGGTCCATCCCTGTTATAGTGATGTTGTTATATGTGAGTTCATTACCCTCTAGATGTTCCAAATACATCTCCATTAATGCATCTCCTTTTGCCACCGGTAGAAACAAAACACTGTATTTTAGGGATGGAACTTGGTATTCAACAGTCTGGGGCCCGAGGAAATCCTTATCCACCAGGTAATGTAGAATCTGATAGATGATGCTTGAGCGCTTGCAGTCGAGTGGGACAGATGCGCAGTAGCCATATTTGTTTCTTTCTGCGCACAATGCAACCAAGCTTCCATCATGGTAGTAAGAAGCGCAGTATCTGAGCAAGTTTAAACTGTCTGTCACTTGCTGCGCTGTAAGACTGAAGCAAGATGAGACGTTGTTGAGGAGAGCCAAGGCGTTTCCCAGAGACCAGCTTGGACAGCATTCTCTCTTAAACTTGGTGCCAGCAGTCTCTGATTTGACCTGGCAGTGTTCTTCAAAATATGCATCTGAGCGTAACTGAAATGGAAAAGAAAAAATATTTGCTCAGTTTCTTGTACTGACTCACTAGCATTTTTAATTTCACTTAAAATTCCACTACACTTTTTTTAAAATTAAACTAATTAAACTATGTTTTACAAAAAGAGTTGGGTAGTAATGGCATACATGTATCAGCATGACGTAATCAGGTAGTAATCAGTTTACAGATCTATTTTAAACATAGTATTATTTGCATGATTACTTTAAAATCACTTTTGCACATCAAATGCAGTCTTATGGATGGCTGAAATGCAGCATTATTTTATTCACTCTTTGTTCAATTTTTTAACTTTTCTGGCAACATGAGCTCACTTCACCAATCTCTGTTGTCTCTGTGGCTGGCAGTAGCAAATGTCAATAGGATTAGTTTGTCCTCTGCTTCATCATGTGTTGTATGCATTTCCAAAAGCAGCTCAAACTGGGCTATGGACATCTGAGCTGTGTGAGAAAACAATCAGTTCCTGAACAAAGTGGTGAAACTGCTGCTTATGCTTTTCCAAAATGGGAAATAGCCTACCACATTATCCAAAAGCAATAGAAAGTAATCAGGTTATATTACTTTTATATAGTAATCTTTAAGATTAGGATTTTTAGGGTAAGTAATCTGAAAATGGTACCAGACTACATTTTCTAGGTATCCTGACCTCCCATCCTGTTTTTGTTTTTACAGACAATTTCAAAAATATTTGTTCTGAAGCATAGAGAACCCTTTGGTGTACCTGGGTCCGTTCCATCTCACACATGGAGTAGATTGCCTTCAGACTCCAGAGACTGGCAGAGTTTCCCGAGCGGAAGACCAGCTGGGCATAACGATCTCCTGCGGGGTCACAGATGGAGCAGGGAGACCAGCATTCTTTATTACATGCTACAGTCCATTTGTTGATTTATTAGGCTGGAAAGCTTCATATTTTATTGAACAATGGCATTTGCCCAAAACAATGATTTTCTTCATTTCCCCTCACCTGGAGCATTGCAGAAAAACGTGTTCTCAGTAGAGTCTCTGTGCAGCATTCTTCTTAAACGATGTTTTAAGTGATGCTGAGCTCTACTCGTGACCTCTCTGTAAACACCAAAAGCAATGGAGTATATGAATCATTCTACTGAATTGGTTCAAAGTCAGAGTTCAAAATACTTTTCACTTTTAACTGACTTGGACTTTGACTAAAATCATTTTAGTATGAGTGACCTGATACCTTAATTAAGTTTATTTTGATTTTTTTTTAACAAATAATTGAACATTCCATTTTGCCAGTACCAAAACAATCATACCACTAACAAAACTTGTTCCATGTTCCAGTAGATAATGTTTCAGTAGTGAGGATTCTTAATGTTACATATTGATTTTTGGACTTTGGGACACATTTACTTCAAAACAATGGAATCTTAACTGCTCACCATGTGGCCATAGGGGCAGTCTCACTTCCTGCTCTAAAATGTAGGGGTGAGGCTAAAATAAGACTTCACCCATGGACTAAAACTGAGGGTTTGGGTAGTGACATGAAAAGGTTCACTTTAAACTTTAAACCTCACTTTAAAAACAATGAAAGAGCTCTTTGAAAAAATAAACAAAAATATAAGTATTGTATGTATTTAAAAGATCATAACAATCTGCAAATATCTAAGGTCTGAATACTTGTTTGATTTCTTTATTTATTTTTTGATTGTGAAACCGCAGTTTGAACTAATTCTGTAGAATGGTCCGTGTTATAAATGTGTTGATGTAGGTTTTGTGCACGTGGTAGAGAACTCAATCACAGTGTGCAATACCGTGCTGTGCTCTTGTCTGCAGATTGCGGAGAAGTCAGAGATAGTGCTTTCCCAGGCCCAGTACTTCCCTGCAGCTTTGTCCATGCTGCCATTCTAATCCCAATGTCTGTTCCTCTGGGCTCGAAACCCTGTGACAGCCCATGAGAAACACACCGAAGGTGGCTACGCATCATTTGAAGAATGCATTAAATTATTCTGCAAGGCACATTTGCAGGTCTAATCGTTGCATCAGTTCATTAGCAGAAATTTATTCTAGGAAGAAATGAATGCTTTTGTCTAGCATGGCTCTGATTACATGCATATGGCGTTTCTTTGTTTTCAGTATGGTGCAGTTACACTTTCTTGTATGATTAAAAATTAAAGCATTTTAGAGGAATCAAAATGTAGGAAAAAGTGTCATAACGAGGTAGTTAATTTCGATGGAGTTTGTGCCACATAAATGGAAAGATACTTACTAATAAAGGGTCAGAGAAGTCTGGCAAGGGACCAGTCAAAATCCCTACCAGGGAAAAGGTGAGGAGCACTACCACACATGAGATAAGCACTGTCATTGGGTATTCCACTATGACCTGGGAGTAGCTGTCAAAAACAAGAATTCAGAAACGTTTGAAAATTGAAACTTCATAGGTGAACCAAGCACAGACTAGAAAGTATACACCTTTATTAATGCCTGCGATATTATTTTATAGCCAGATTTGTGCATTACCGTGTTGGGACTTAAATGGGAATTCCACCGAGTTTTTCACAATGTCTTCATAATTCAATCATTAGGATGTAAACAAAGTAATTCAGAGTGGTTTGAAGTGAAACACCCCATTTTGCTCAGTGTTTAATGCAGCAGAGTCCAGTCTTATCTGTAAAGGGCCAGTGTGGCTGCAGGTTATCATTACAAACATGCATCTGATCATGCAACCTTTTACCCATAAGATTGAACACTTCTGGTTTAATGCTTCTAACAGTTACCTCACATAAAGTCTTTACAATAAATGGTCCCGCCTGATGCCTGGGACACTGTTTTAAGATAATTTTGCAGTAATGTTTTTTTTTAATCCATGCAGGTTGTTGTGAGGCAAAAGACTATGCAAAAATATATTTTCTTTGGACTTCCTACTATTTTATCATTATCAACACCACATATAAAGACTCAGAAGACACGTGTAGGTTCACTGGTCATGCTGGATGCAAATAATATGGCGATATTTGTGTTGTAGACATTGTAACCCCTAGTTCCTATCACCACCACTGTAAAGAAATCTGCAATGGTAAGTTTCTCTACAGTGAACTGTTAATACATTCGGGACCGGTTTGTTTACATTTCAATGATTGAATTATGCAAAACAGCTGAATACTGAAAAAGCTCTTCACAGGCATATTCAAATTCACTTTGCAGTTTACCCTCATTTATTGTGAGTAATGTATTACTAGCTATATAAACGTCAACCCACCTTTTCGGAATCCTGTGGAGTCTCTCAGTCCTATAAAAGAGACAGCTTTGAAGTGATTGTTTACACTTGGAAATGCTTGCATATATATCAATCAGAAGAACATTTAAGACTGGAAAAAGGACCTGACTGTCACCACATGATGCTGAACAGGCTTGTAGTTACTGCCATCACGTGATCCCTGCAGCCAATGACACTGCATTGTGTTGTGACACATAGGCTGGTGGAAGGGACTGCACCTGTGAACTGTCTTGACAGCGTTGGTTGAGCAGTCAGAATGTGAAGGCGCATTTGTTTGATTCAGACAGACATTGCCTGTGATTGGCTGGTTGTGGCCACAGCATGGGCATCTTTTGAGTTGAGGTGACTGGTAGGCACAGCTCTGTGACACTTGGTCATACAGCTGAGAGGAGGACGGTGGTCTGGACAGGTTGTTTATCTGGTCCCGCTCTATGGTGCCCTGATTTGTTGGAGACTCTGGGTCCTCACTGTCCGGAGGGCACAACGACAGCTTTGGGATCTCACTGCAAAAGAACAGGAAACAGTGATAGCCATTAAAATACATTTTTCCTGATTATATAGAAAGATTATTTTGCTTTTAACCCTCCTCCATGGTTTCTAATTTGTCCATATATGAATGTTATTCATCTAATTTACTGTGTATTTACAGATTTTTCAAAAATTCTGCTAAATGCAACCATTAAGATGTAAATAAGAAATCCACTTTGAGGTGTATTTGAATAAAAACAGTACAAATACAAGACATTTAATGTTTTATCAGTATCATTGTTTTTGTAAATGCTTACTCTGAAATTGACACCTGCAACATGTTCCAAAAAAGTTGGGACAGGAGCAATTTAAGACTGGGAACATTATGAAATGTCAAAAATATTATAGAAGAGGTGAAGTAATGATGCTTATGAGCATCCGAAAAAGGCAGAGTAGTTTATAAGCAGTCAAGGCTTGCCACTTTGCCAAATAGTCCAACTGTTTAAGAACAATGTTTCTGAACAAGAGTTTGCAATGATTTTAGGCATTTCACCATCTACAGTGCATAATTTTATCAAAAGATAATCCTAAAAAATCTCTCTGCATAAAAAGCAAGGCTAAAAATCATATGCTGCCTTTTATACATCGTCTTTTTCAGGGAGGTGCCTGCATATTTCAACATGACAATACCAAGAAACATTCTGGGCAAGTTACAACAGTGTAATAAAAGAGCATGGGTGCTAGACTGGTCTGCTATAGAAAATGTGTGGCGCATTATGAAAAGTGAAGGCCCCATACAGTTGCACAGCTGAAGACTTGAATAACTGAAGAATGGCAAGAAATTGTGCTTTCAAAACTGGACCAATTAGCATCATCAGTCCTGAAATGTTTATTAGGTGCAGTTAAAAGAAAAAGTGATGCAACACAGTGGCAAACATACCCCTATCCCAACTTTTTGGAATGTGTTGCAGTAATCATATTTAGAATGAGTATATTTACACAAACAATAAAATGTATAATTTTAAACATCAAATATTGTGTTTTTGTTCTGTTTTTAATTTAATACAGGTCAAACAGAATTTACTAATCACTGCTTTCTGTTTTTATTTGGCATTTTACCTTCTGTCCCAGTATCATTTTGGAATTAAGTTTGTATTTTAAAATGTATTTTAAACCTAAACTTTGTTGCAGTACTACCAGAAAACAATCTCTCAGACATCAGTCAGTGTATTCATAACCAATATGTAGAGTTACTTTCTGTAAGGTAGCTTTTAGAGGCATTAAACTCTTTGGACGTCTGGTTCCTGTCCACCACTATTTAAGATACTTTTACTTGACAAGATACGAAAAAGATTTTGAAAAAGTGGTGGAATTCCCCTTTAACTGTGTAGTTAATTATGTAAATTGTGTACATTCTGCTAAGCCAGTTTAAAGCCTTTAGACCCTGACTATAAAGCTCCGTTCTAGATTCTTCAGGGGAATATCAGGCAGTCAAATTACTGGCAATTTGAATTAGATAAGCACTGACGTCCAAAGAATATATCAGTGCAGTGCTTGAAGGCCCAATTAGACTAAAAGAGAGACTCCATCTGCCTAGCCTGTCAACATTCATAAGAAGGCCCTTTGAGAAGGCACTGGAACTTCATCTAATAAAGAATGACTCATGCTTTCAACTGAAGTGCACAGGTGATGCTTGTCAAACAGCATCCGTTTTGCTGTCTGTGCTTGCTCTTCTGAGGTTCAACATAAGACTATCAGTAGCAACAATCAAAAGAGACAATATATACTTACATTATATATTGTCTTTTATGAATATGAATTATACATTAAAAAAACCTTTTTTCAGAATAGGCTATTGATTAATATGAAATTAAAATGATTACGGTCATTAGCAGAAGTGAACTAAAAACCTCCATTATACAGTATACACTGACTGGCCACTTCTTAAAATACTCCTCTTTGTTTCTAAACTCAATGTCCATTTTATGCTCCACTTACTATGTAGGTGCACTCTGTAGTACTGTGATTACAGACTGTAGTCCATCTGTTTCTCTGCATACTTTGTTAGCTCCTTTTACCCTGTTCTTCAATGGTCAGGAACACCACAGAGCAGGTATTATTTGGGTGATGGATCATTCTCAGCTCTGACGTGGTGGTGATGTGTTAGTGTGTGTTGCACTAGTATGAGTGGATCAGACACAGCAGTGCTGCTGGAGTTTTTAAACACTGTGTCCACTCACTGTCCACTCTATTAGGTACACCTACCCTGTTGTTCCACCTTGAAGATGATTCACCACCCCAATAATACCTGACCTGTGCTTGTCCTGTGGGGGTCCTGACCATTGGAGATCAGGGCGAAAGGGGGCTAAGTATGCAGAGAAACAGAAGGACTACAGTCTGTAATTGTAGAATTACAAAGTGCACCTGTATGGTAAGTGGACCTGATAAAATGGACAATGAGTGTAGGTACAAGGAGGTGCACTTAAAGAAGTGACCGGTCAATGTATGTCTGTATTTTTATTTCTCATCAGATCAGTACCATCGAACCTTGTGTAATCTTAATATCACAAACCTGCTGCTTTCTGTCCTAGAGAGTATTTCACAAAGCAAGATTTCTGGCTTACCAGATAAATTAAGCCAAATGTCAGGTGACATCAAGTGTCACTACTAATGGGCAGTCCTCACTCTGGGCCTAAGTTATCCAGCTTTTCTTAGAAAGCTTGCTATTTGAAGTACATAGAAGGCCCACTTTAGGGTCCTTAAAGCCATCACTGAATGGCTTTTTAAAGAACCATTTTGTAACCTTTTTAAAAAACCTCTTCATAATGTAACGGTCAGGCCTGTGCTCAGACAGACCTCAGGGAGTGCTTGACCCCCTGGCTTTTTCACAGTGCGGCACTGAGTAGTGCAACATCACATAGCAGATAGTACAAAGTACAACTATACCTTATAGAGTGCTTCACAGTGAGAGTGCCGATAAACATTAAGCTCAAGTTCAATCCTTCTGTTTTGGTTTTATTATCTTGAATGCTGGGTCAGCCTCTCGGGCACAGTTTTAGAATGGTTTAAATCATATTTAAGTAATAGGCAGTTCATGGTTTCACTTGGAAATCATTCATCAAAAAGATCTGCCATTTCTTGTGGAGTCCCTCAAGGTTCAGTCTTAGGGCCTTTGCTTTTCTCTTTGTACATGCTACCTCTAGGTGATGTCATTAGGAAGCATAGTATAAATTTTCATAGCTATGCTGACGACACCCAGCTATACATTTCTATTCCTTCTGAAGATCAAGACTCTGTAGACAGACTAACCAGCTGTTGCAAAATTTTCTACGATTAAATCATGAAAAAACTGAAATATTGATCGTTGGTACAGAAACTCAGAGAAAAATGATTTACGAGAAACTTGGTTCTTTAGCTTCATATACCAAACCTGAACTACGAAACCTGGGTGTGATCTTAGACTCTGAGCTCTGTTTTACCCCGCATGTAAACACAGTCACTAAAGTAGCTTTTTATCATTTGAGAAATATCGCTAAAGTTCGGCCTTTTCTATCTCAGAGCGATGCAGAGAAACTTGTTCATGCATTTGTTACAAGCAGACTTGACTACTGTAATGCTCTTCTTACTGGACTTCCTAAGAAAACTATACATCCCTTACAACTCGTACAAAATGCAGCAGCGCGCATCCTAACAAAAACAAAAAAGAGAGATCACATCACTTCCGTTTTGAAAGAACTGCACTGGCTGCCTGTATCATTCAGGATAGATTTTAAGGTTCTCCTACTAGTCTTTAAAGCTGAAAATAACCTAGCACCTGCTTACATCACAGAATGTCTGTCTGTTTATGTTCCAGCATATGGAGGGGCCTCTTTCAGCTATTATGCTTCTAAACTGTGGAATTAGACAGTCAAGCTCAGTGCTCACTTTTAAGAAGCATCAAAAACATATCTCTTTAATTTAGCATTTAATTAAAACTCTACGTCTCGTGGTGTTTATCCTCTAATTTAATCTTTTTCATTTTCTTCTAAATCTAAATAAATACTAATGATTTCTTGTATAACTATGTTTTATCACCTGTCTGTAAAGCACTTTGAGCTGCGATGGCATGAAAAGTGCTATATAAATAAAATTATTATTATTAACGCTGTACTTGTATGCAGTCGTACAAAAAAGTTTGGACATTACATTATTCTAAATGAAAATATGTTACACATCTGCAGAGAACACACTTCTGCACATTAAATGCACAATTTATTTGCTAAATTAAAAAAATGATAATTTAAAAATCATAAATTGTGGTCTGTGCAAAAGTTATGGTACATTTTTATATATTTTATTTTTCAAATAATTGTGAACTACAATTTGCAGAAAACTGTCATGTTTAAGTGTTTTCTCTGTAGAGGATGTGTTAACTTATTTTTCACTTAGAAAAGTAGCAAAGCATGTAATTTGCCCAGGGATGTTCAAACCTTCAAATGCATCAAAACTCACTGTCCTAGCAGTAAGACAGTGTACTGGATAACACCACATCCTTGTTTGCTGAAGCTTGGAGTTCAGTTCCTCTATCTAGCACAAGTGTTAATATTTTAGACTGCTTTAGTAGAGATGCCTAACTCCATGTTTGTTTTTCTCTGAAACATGATTCAATTTTCTCTTTGGATAAGAATGTGAGCCTTATGCTTTAAATTCAGTTCAGTTTCATTCACATTCAGGTTGCCTTTTTCCATTGAGTCACCACCCTCAAGGCTCTAAGGCCTTTACTGGAAGAACACATCCAAGGCAAGCAGCATTTATAAACTTTTTATGAACCATTTAAGGGAACACTGACTGTTTAGTCATGTGGGCCTCAGTATGGTGTACATGTCTAGCACTGTTCAAATGTGTTGTATAAACTAAGCAAAATACTTTATTTATTATTAAAAATAGACAAAATTCTTCTCCTAGTAGGTTGCCATTTTTGTGAATTGTTGCTCTTTTTCTTGTCCATTGAGTGAGGAACAGCTAGCTAAGAATCTTATTCAGTCTTTGCAATTCA